CACTGACCACACACTGACCACACACTGACCACACACTGACCACACACTGACCACACCATGTTAGTTCTTTGTCCAGAGTTTTGTTAAGGTCAGCGTAGTGTATTTGACATGACACACAAACATGTAACACACACATAAACAACACAACACAGAAGGCCTGTAATTTGACTTTTTTCATGTCCAATTACAATTGTCTCATGAGTTATTTTATTGTTGCAACTTTCAGAGCCTGCAGAACACGCAGAGCTTTAAGAGATTTTTTCCTAAAAGGATCCATTTCAAACTTTAATGTTTAAACCACGTGGTCTTTACTCAGGCTTCTCACAGACTGTGTCCCCTAAAGTTTAATGAGCTCCTATAGTTACTTCTAGACTCGTGCACTGCACGTACTACAAATGTTCTTCCCTTTTTTAGTAAAGCCAGTTCGGATTCATTAAAAAATGTAAATTAATTTCATTTAAGTTATATTAACTTTAATACTTCACCTTTGTTTCACGTTCATGTGGAGAAAAGACTATTATTGTACGTGTACTAACGTACTTGCACCAATCATGTCTGAGACAAACTGCCAACAGTTGTATCAAAGACATAATTGTCCTAATTGTTTATAATTTATCTATTTGGAAGAGAAACATGTCATAAAAGATTTCATAAAATGTTTCTACATCCGTGTTTTCAACCACCAGTGAGCCTTGGTGCGTTAGTGTGTCATCCGAAATGATCCAATATCACCTTTAGCCAAGATTTAGAAATACTCTATATTACTTTTCAAACTTTTTTGATTGTTTATACAAACCACTTTGTACTAAATGCAGCGTCCATTAAAGGCTGCAGCTTTTTTTTCCTAGCACCAGTTTCAACTGTGCGTGTGATTGTTTTAAATGAGTGACGAGCCACGGCTCAAAGGCTGAGGAACACAGCTCTAAATGTCTGTAGTAACAAGATCATGCAGTTCAAACCAATAATTCTAATCTTCTCCGCGTATATAACTTTAAATAATAATAATAGTTTTAATAATAAAACTCATCTAAAGCATGCACAAATATACTGCCATTCTAATCTTCTTGTGTCTCATTCTAAAGTAAGAGTCTAATGACTTTGACTATTGGCTTGTAATCATTCATGCAGTTAAATGTAGTGTTATGAACGTATGACCTAAATGTGTAAATATGACCTAAATGTCCTATATGTCTCTGTGCGTTGTTGCTTGTCTGTATATATTACCTTCTGTCTGTTTCATTTGCCCAGCCACGTCTTCCTCAAATGTTTTTTTTTCTTTCAATTACTTTTTCTTACTGGGCGGCAAGGTGGCTGAGTGGATAGCATCTCGCCTCTCAGCAAGAAGATTCTGGGTTCGAATCCCGATCGGAACAGTGTCTTCCTGAGGGGAGTTTGCATGTTCTCCCCGTGTCTGCGTGGGTTTCCTCCGGGTCTTCCGGTTTCCCCTACCATTACTTACTACTTCCAATCTCTCTTTTTCTTGCAATGTCTTTTTCTTTCCATGTCTTCTTTGTCTCATATTTGACGCACACAAATGTGTTGTCGTGCTCTTCTGCTCGGCTCACACACCGTTCCTCTTCCTGCACATAACTTCACCCAGTTTGTGCAAAAGTCTGTGGCCTTTACTTTGCTGCAGATGATGATGATGATGCTGCTGTTGCTGCAGCCGATACTGCTGCAGATGATGATGATGATGCTGCTGCTGTTGCTGCAGCCGATACTGCTGCAGATGATGATGATGATGCTGCTGCTGTTGCTGCAGCCGATACTGCTGCGGATGATGATGATGCTGCTGCTGTTGCTGAGGGAGACGCTACAGTCCTTTGTGTCAGTGATTTGGCAGCGCTCAGTTCTGGCAATCGGCCAATGAAACAGACAGAAGGGTTTTCTCGGAAAAAAAAAACAGACAAAAAAGTGTGTTAATACAATACAAAACCAATGAATAATTGCAAATCTAAATAAACCTATGAAATAATTTATATTAACATTTTAAACATTAAATTCTGAAAACCAAATCTGTATTCAACTGCTATCCTAAGCCCTATTTTCCAAAAGTATAACGCTCTCTAGGATCATTTTAAATTTTATATCACCAAAATGTTGGGAAAAAAATGTTTAATAACTTGTCTAGACGTTTGGAGATGGTCAAAAGAATAAAATAATGCCTCTTTATAATCTAACTCAAAGTTCTGTGATCATATGACTCCATGACAGTAACATTATCGTGTGTATAAATGTAATTTTCTACAAAAAAATATTTGGTATGTCTCTTTCTTAACTGTAGAGAGGGAGAGAGAGAGAGCAGACAGAAAGAGGGAGGGGAGGGGCTGAGTGGCCTGTATGCCTCAAGCATTTATCAGAGAGGGAGAAGGAGGGAGAAGGAGGGGCTTTGTGGCTTCTCAAACAGAGGAGTACATGTACGACTGAATTACACCAAATTCATGAACATCCCCTTTAAAATTTGTTACATTTTACTCGTTTTTTTTATCGTGACAATGCTTTATCAGTGGTGAGAGTTCTCTCACGTCAAACGACACTTTGCACTTATTTAAATACGTCAGTAATGGAAAACATTACAATTTGCTTACATGACTAATGCATCACTAGGTACAGCCGGATCTTTTTCGTAATACCTCTGTAACTATTGAAACATTACATCACCATACAAGAGAACTTCCATAACTGAACGGGTCATTTCTCCATATGAAACTCGACAGCCAAGTGGCTCCTTTTTTTTTTTCATTAATCAGATCATTATTATTCAATAGTCAGAATCCAACAGTTTAAATACTTGGCTTTTTTGTGTAAATTAAATGTACCCTTTTTCCCGCCCCCCGGGGGATATGGAAGGTTTTATTCCCTGTAACTTCTGACCCTAGCTGTCCCTATTTTCACTAAACACTTGTGCCTCTCTGCACTTTAAAACGGTGTGCCTCTTTTGCACTTCTAAAACCCTTGTGGACTTTCTTTTCCCTTTTTGTTTTTTAGAGGGGACCCCAAAATTCCCTCAAGGTTAAACGTCAAATAAACCTGACTATTGTTTTATCGCGTCCGATAAAACGCCCATCACGGCGGGTCTGTCCACACCTGCAGTCATGCTGGGCCGAGACCTCTCTGTCTTCTATTAAAAACAATGTGCAGATTCTCAAAAATATGATCTGCTTACCTGTGTTTTGCAGAGTAGAGAGCTCCCAAACTCACAGACCCGGTTTCTCTATCTGAGCTCATCTTGCGTCTTCTTTCTGTATCAAATCACGTCTGGGTCACCATCTGTTGGTTAAAATGATCTGATCGACGTGTTCAGAATTTGGTACAGAAATAAGGCCAAGATTTCAGGAGTTCCAATAGTACATTTATTTCTCTTTACAATTAAATGTTGATACAGAACTCCCGGAGCTACTCCCTAAATCTCTATCCCTGTGCTCTAACTTTCCCAATGTGTCCTCCCAACGGTTTTATCAGAATCCCCGATGACGTCATATGGTCTCAGGCTGGTCCCAGTCTGGTTTTGTCTCAGGCCGCTAGAGACACGCTGTTCCTGAAAATGATACTTTTATCACAGAAGCCTTTGTCCTTGGTGCTTGTCTGAATTCCATTAAATCCAGGCTTTAATATTGCACAAAGACATGTTTGCAAACACCTACTGGAAATCATTAGTATACAACATTATAATTCTACAACACATCATAGAGATAAAGATTCCATTTTAGATGATTAAAGAATACTTTATTCATGTACTGCATTAGGGTTTAGAATGTATGAAAAGAATTCTAAATTCTAAAAGATTGTAATTGTCATTAAATATTATTTGACTTTGTAACAGGTATAATGTATTGTGCCCTTTATGGTTTTTGTGTAGTTAAATTTTTTATTTAAAAATCTGTTATTTCATCCAATGCTTTCTAATTACTATACTATATGTCAAATTGCAATACAAATCTGCATGTTTAGTAGTGAGTATATCCACATGACATGCAGCATAATGCTATAGATACATCATTATAATCAGATCCGCGGGACAGAACAGGGTTCTAAGCGGATCCATAGCATGTCCGCAGCGGACCCACAGTGAAAAGGCTATTATCCGCGGCGAGACAGCCTTGTACCCGAATCTCAACATGCCGCAGATACTTTTTTCTAGTAGGGTACCGCTGTTTCTAACCGGACAAAAATATGGGTGCACAGTTAACTTCCGGTTCCGCCAAATCGGCCTGAAACCATTATTCAATATTTAGTGTTTTCATTTTCTGCATCAAAACAAAACATCAAATATCAAGACAATTTTTCGTTTTCCTTTTCCTCATCAAAATGAAAAATGATAATTCAAGCCATTTTAAGCTATTTCATTTTCAATTTTAATTTGAAAAAAAAAACATTGAATGAAAAATACACAGACCATAGACCTGTAACTGATTTGTTTTCCTCAAAATAAGTACAGGCTCATTATCTTACTGATAGCCCATTATGTAAGAAACGCTTTGGGCAGGCTTAGACCAATCTTGTTTCAGTATACATGAAGGTTCAGATATCTACTTAATATCCCTGTAAATACCATGTAACGTTGGTAATCTGTGTCTGAACCCAGAAGTATTTTCTCCAAAGGCAGAGTGGGGTGGGTATCCATGCAGCGCTTGTGAAGTCAAAGCACTGCTTTTCTTAACCACAAGGCAGAATTTTTAAACATTTTTATCACAAGTTCATACAAGGTGTACATAGGGTTATGAACAAGGAAAAGCAAAACAAAAGACAGCCCTCCAGATCTTAGGGAGGGGTGAGACTGTGTACAAAGGCCCAGCGCTCCGGGGTTAAGCAGAGAAAGCTCTTTTAACTCTTTAAAACCAATTATTGTATCGTAATGTTGGGCAGCCTGTACACATCCAATTACAATTATTAGCATGGCTTTCCTTGTGCACTAAAAGCATGTGCTTGTCTTGTCGGAGTACAAACGGCCCCAGACTGCAACATCTCAAATCACAAAGTCCGGGTTTACATGCTCTTGGTCAGATGTCGCCCATGTTGTCATAGATGATGTCTGGCCTCCGGTCTGCTCTCTGGTGCTCCTTCTGGCTGTAGCTGGAGCGTGCAGGCTTCTGTTTGGACACTTTGCTGTAGAGCTCGGGGCCCTCTCCCGACACATTGTTGTTGTTGTTGACATTAGAATAATTTGGAGGATCTTTGTTTGTGGCCCGTGGGGGTTTTGGAGCAGTCAAGGGCTTGAGCAACTTGGAGCCCGTCTTTGGTTTGTGGTGGGTTCCACTGGTTCCTTTGGCTCGTCCCTCGGGCTCGTCATAAATGTGCTCATGCTCTGCTCTTCCAGCCGGCCCGGTGAGGCTCAGGGCGCTGGTATCCATGTTGATGTGGTCGTACACATAGGAGTAGAGGTCGGGGGGAGAGGGATGCAGGCGGTCCACAGGCTCAGAGTATAGAGACTTAGAGTGCACAGAGTCAGCGGGCTCAGAGTACACTCCTCCTTGCTCATTCACACTGCTCCCTGGGGGGGCTTTAGCTCCTGCCTCGGTTCCCTCCCTACAGGTCAGGACTCCATCAGCAGAGCTGGGTTTACTCCCCCCCGAGTCTGCATCTGCCTCTCTGCTGCTGCAGCTGCTGCTGTCCCCGCCGCCCCCTGTCCCTGTGCCCGTCCCTGGCCCAGGCAGGGCGATGCGCAGCAGAGAGGAAGGCGTTTCAGGATCAGGGGCAGAGCTCAGGTGGCTCTCCTCAGCCCGGGCCTTCTGCGATTGGATGGCCTGGTCCACCAAGGAGAAGATCTCATTTCCTTGTTTGGTGTCAAAGGTAAAGTTTCCTGGACCAGAGTCACAGCGACGACCGGCCTCAAAAGAGAACATGGCCTGTAGAGCAGAGAACACAGAAAACATACTTATTTTTAAAGTTGTGTGTGGCCTCAGAGCTGAACACTGACACAGGAAGTCTCAGTTTGAATCCTGTTAGATCTAAGTGCTGCTTTTTACTCTTTTGACAATGAGATCCCCAAAAAACACTAGAGGACTGGGTGGGTGTTGCTGGCACAGCCCGTAGTTTGTTCAAGTCATATCTAGAAGACTTCCTATTTCTACAAAGAAAGTACTTTGTAGAACTAGGAAGCAGTGTTTCAGATCATTTGGGGTCCGTGTTCTATTTCCGTTTCTGACATTGCATATCAATAAACAAATTTGGGCTTTTTCAGTTTTCTGATATATGCAGCATACAGTGCCTTGCGAAAGTGTTCGGCCCCCTTGAACCTTTCAACATTTCAGGCTTCAAACATAAAGATATAACATTTTAATTTTTTGTCATGAATCAACAGCAAGTGGGACACAATCATGAAGTGGAACAAAATTTATTGGATAATTTAAACTTTTTTAACAAATAAAAAACTGAAAAGTGGGGCGTGTAATATTATTCGGCCCCTTTACTTTCAGTGCAGCAAACTCACTCCAGAAGTTCAGTGAGGATCTTTGAATGATCCAATGTTGTCCTAAATGACTGATGATGATAAATAGAATGCACCTGTGTGTAATCAAGTCTCCGTATAAATGCACCTGCTCTTTGATAGTCTCAGGGTTCTGTTTAAAGCGCAGAGAGAACCATGAAGACAAAGGAACACACCAGACAGGTCCGAGATACTGTTTTGGAGAAGTTTAAAGCTGGATTTGGATACAAAAAGATTTCCCAAGCCTTAAACATCTCAAGGAGCACTGTGCAAGCAATTATATTGAAATGGAAGGAGTATCAGACCACTGCAAATCTACCAAGACCCGGCCGAATAACACAAACATTAAAGACCTTCAAATGCATATATTTATATACTTTTTTGTTTGTTTGTTGTTGTATACTTGCCTGTTTTGTTGTCTTTATAAAGGAAAAAAATAATAATATAATAAATAAAATTTTTACATTTATTTTTAAATACAATTTTTATCGCGCATATTTTTCATATGGCTATCGCACGCACCAATATTGCGATAACAATATTTTTTCCATATATCGTGCAGCCCTAATAAGTGCCAATGTTCCCTCTAGTGTAATTGTGGCTGACCCGGTCGCGCCCGTATCTCCGCAGCAGCTTATAGGGCCACACTTGGACAGTCCTGTGGTTCTGCGGCTCCTTCAGGGTCAGGGCATCACTCTCAGCTTTCAGCCAGTAGTTTCCAGAAAGTCCACAGCGGTCAGCGGCCTCCGAGCGCTGGACACTCACCCAGAAGTCATCCACTGCAGCAGAGAAATGGAAACAGTCACATGTGAAGCTGATATTATGTACAGCGATTTTTTTATCACCTAGGACAGAAAAACACAAATTCTGAGTGTATGTGTGTGTCTCACCCTCTTCTCTGGAGGAGTAGATTAGGTTTTCAGACATCTGCAGGTATGGAGCTCCAGCGCTGGGGTCAGGAACAGCACTGCCTCTTCCTCCCTATGGAGACCACACAGCAAGTATGTTTACAAAGCACTCCTGGTAAGCTGGATAAGCATAAAAGCATAAAATGCAATTTGGGTAAAAGGCATGAAACTTGCAATGGCTATTTTTAAGAGATTACGATTAAGAGCTCCTTTCTTCGTCCGACAGTGGGGAAATTTCAGTGTTACATCACAAGTTATAGAACAGTAGGAAAGAGGAGCACACAGCACAAGATAAGTGAACAATAGCTATACTAATTGAAATAAAACTAAATCTTTAACTCTAGCATCAATAACTAGTACAAAATATCAATTTTGAAAATAATGATAATAAAAAGAGGCAAGTTTAAAGCACTGTGTATTCTAGTGCAAACAATGTGTAGTTATATGTTAACATTTGTACATTAGCAGCAGTATGTTTACATCTGTACATTAGCAGCAGTATGTTTACATCTGTACATTAGCAGCATGAGGGTCTGGGACACACTGACTCAGTAAAGTGACAGTGACATGTGGTTATTGCACTTTCTGATATCAGAATCAGAATCAGAATAATTTTTATTGCCACGTGAGTAACAAAGTTACCACTTGGAAATTGTCTTGGCAGAGAGCGTGCCACTTCGCCATTTGCGAAGTGGCGAAGTGGTGAAGTTATCCTTAACTTAATTCGCATGATTAAGTTAAGGATACTGCAACGATGCATGACACGTGGGATCAAGTTGACAGTGTTCATTAGTCCTCATTGTTTGTTTTACAGTCTGACAGCAGCAGGAAGGAAAGACCTGCGGAACCGCTCCTTCATACATCGAGGATGACAGAGTGTCCTGCAGGGGGTGACAGTCATGGTCCAGCAAAGATGTTAGTTTGACCAGGACCCTCCTGTCCCCACCTGCTGCACTGTGTCCAGGGAACAACCCAGGACTGAGCTGGACTTCCGATGACCTCGTCCAGCTTCTTCCTTTCCCTCTCTGTGGTGCTGCTGCTCCAGCAGACCATACCGTACAAGATGGCTGATGCCATCACAGAGTCATAGAAGGTCTTCAGGAGTGGCCCCTGCACTCCAAAAGACCTGAGCCTCCTCTGGCCTGAGACTCCTCTGGCCTGAGCCTCCTCTGGCCTGAGCCTCCTCTGGCTTGAGCCTCCTCTGGCCCTTCTTGAAGAGGGCGCCTGTGTTATGAGTCCAGTCCAGTTTGTGGTTCAGATGAACACCCAGAGTCCACTCTCTCAATGTCCCTTGCCTGGATGTTCACTGGGGCTGGTGCGGTAAAATGGCGTCTGCGGAAATCCACCACCATCTCCTTGACTTTCAAACTGGCCTTTGTAAACTTTGGATATGTGTATTGTAGAACAATGAACTCAGTGTTTCCCACACATAGGCTAATCTGTGGCGCACCGCCACAGATTCGAGACCAACCGCCACACATTGCGTTGCGTTTTTAACCCTCTTGGCACCACGGTCGACTAGTTGCAGAACTATGTAAAACAGCCGAGTGTGTCAAACAGTGTCAGAATTAATTCATACTCTCTGCCACTAGTTGGCAGACATGTCAGACTACCTCCCTGGCCCCGAAAAACGTCATGCTCCCATACAAAATATTCGAGCAAGACCGCGTTGAACCAGTGCTGAAACCATAGCAAAGCGAGTGCAGCTGCAGCAGCGTGTGAGTGTTATACCAAACACTAACACTAACTTTAGACACTTTGCACAGAGACAGCAGTGGGAACAGGGTTTCTCAGGGTCAGGGCTGTCATTGGGAGGTTCGAAGACGGATTAGATTTGCGGAAAACAAGCCTAGAAATCGCGTCGAGGCACCGCGCCGTGACTTCCAGCCTCCGCTGTAGTCTCTGCCAATAGTGCCTCTCACAGATGTATCATCGTGCCTCCCTGTCTTCACCGGAACAGTAACGTGTCGGAGAAGCCTTTGTCATGTGTTTGTTAGACAGAGAGTGGTGGAGACGAGAGAGAGAACTGGGGAGACGAGCGAGAGCAGGGGCGACGAGAGAGAGAGCGGGGGAGACAAGAGAGAGAACTGGGGAGACAAGAGAGAGAACTGGGGAGACAAGTGAGAGAACAGGGGAGACGTGAGAGAGAGCACAGGATACATATCAGCAGGGAGAGTCGCGGTGACCCGCGCCTCCAGGTGAAGCACGCGCCTGGAAAGACTGCTCACAGCATCAGCATGATTTGTATTTTTTACTATTTCCCTGAACATTTAGCATGTTACAGTATGAGTTCTCTTTGTGTGTTCATGTCCAAGGGATTTATATGTCTGTCAGTTAAAAAATACAAATATTTGATGAAAATTCTAAAATCCACATTTTCCAACGCCATATGACCTCATAATATGCAAATTAGATGGGTATGCTTATACCCTACATAAACTTTGGGCCATCCTTAATTTTGTTCTAATTTATAGAAAGTCTTTATCTCTTATCACTTTTATGTTATAGCCATTTGAAATGAAAATGTTAAAATCGAGTGTTTTCCGCGATTGAAAAAGGCACGTGGCAAAGGCAAGGGGGGCCCCCACACATTGCTTTCAAATCTGTGGGAAACACTGGAACTTCAAGTCAATATGTAGCTGAGGTCAGCACAAAACAAATATATGCACTCCTATGAGTGATTGTCGTGTTTTTGTCCTTCTGCTGTCAATACTGGGCTATTTAAACTATATTAAAGCTTTACCGATTTTTTTTTCTAAATAGTTCATAAAAATGCTTATTACTACATACAAGTTGTATTATAATCCATAATTCAATTGAAAACTTGAGCTCATTTATTCAGCTTGTGTATGAATTCAGGCCGTGAAAAGTGCTGAGTAGAGACTTAGCGGGATGCTCGTTCTCCTACACTCAGAGAACGAGGAGCGAACAGCCTGCGTCCTCTAACCTCTACAGCGCTGGTAAACACTACGGCTTTGACTTCGAAATTCTAATATAATTCTAAAGTTAAAATATATACAGTACAGACCAAACGCTTGGACACACTTTCTCATTCAATGAGTGCCCTTTCTTTTCATGACTATTGACTGTAGATTCACACCCAGGCTGTGTAAGGGCTGTTTGACCAATAAGGAGAGTGAAGGAGTGCTGGGCCTGACCTCCACAGTCACCGGACCTGAACCCAATCCAGATGGTTTTTGGGTGAGCTGGACCACAGAGTGAAGGCGAAAGGGCCAACAAGTGTTAAGCATCTCTGGGAACTCCTTCAAGACTGTTGGAAGACCATTTCAGGTCGCTACCTCTTGAAGCTCATCAAAAGAATGCCAAGAGTGTGCAAAGCAATAATCAAAGCAAAAGGTGCTACTTTGAAGAAACTAGAATATAAGACATATTTTCAGTTGTTTCATACTTTTTTTTTTAGGTACGTACATTACATGAGTTAATTCACAGTTTTGAGGCCTTCAGTGTGAATGTACAATTTTTATAGTCATGAAGATAAAAAACTCTTGATGGGTGGGTGTGTCCAAACTTTTGGTCTGTACTGTATATATATATCCGAACAAATATTAGACAGCCCTTATAATTCGAAATGTATTTAATGACTGCAAATAAAATAGTTCGCTCCCAAAGGTTTCACCGTGACGTGCTAGGCAGGTAACAGCTAAGCTAGCTAGTTCAAAAACTCTCTGGAACTACATGAAAACTAAAAAAAAGAATTCTGAACATCAGCAATGAGTTACCCATTTATATAACGTAACCTAAATCCATAATCAGATCCTCTTCAAATGTGTCCTAAAATGTTCGTTTCATGTTAATGGTTACTTCCGGGTTTATCGCGATTGCTTTTTGTCACATTAAAACAGTATTTTTGTCATGAAAACGTTAACAAATTCTGAAAACTTCTGTGCATGTGTGTTAAGGATATATATGTATAATGTATTCTCCGATTAACATTCAAAGGTGTTGATTGATTGATTGGTATTTGTTTATTGAGCGTGGCTAGCTCGGCTAGCTTCTCTGCGCAGACAGAAGTAGTGACAGGCGCTGAAAGCTCGTTGTACTTGCGGAATAATGTTAGTATTTTACACACCTGAATTACAAACAGAGATTGCATTGCCAAAGGGCAGCGGCCATTATTGGTTTGAGAGTTCTGTTATCAAGAAAAAATTATCAGTAGAACGTTTCGAAATTACATTCAAGTCAATGGAGTGTTCTACTGCTGCTGTGAGGAGCTGTATTATAAACTATAATTAAATATTCAAATATATTCTAATGTTAAAATGAATACATTTGGACACGAAACTAGCGGTATTCTTTTACTTATACGTATATTGTGTTAGCAGTGCGTTGCTTTTGTACCATTTCATCAGTGATTGTTGTACAGCTTACAAGAAGTTGCGCTAATGCTAATGATAGCATACGTATCAGATCGCAAATTAAACTAGATGGCTCCGTGGAATGAGAGCGTAGGGGAAATGAGAAGCCTGTGAGCGAACATTCAAACCTTGCAGAAACGGGAATAGCTCCTTTAAATGCACTACACTGATAAAGTGTTTATCACATAATAGGAGCTCAACAATTGCAGATCACAGATACAAGTATCCAAACTTGTATCTGTGATCTTGGAATAATAGATTCTGTAGTGCAGGGGTGCTCACACTTTTTCAGCATGCGAGCTACTTATAAAATGATCAAGTCAAAATGATCTACCTACTACAAAAATGCAAAACATATATTTATTTCTAAATATATTGAGGATTCTTTATATCTACAAGGTATGTTGGTGTACATGCAAAACCGCATGATTTATGAAATCATTTGCATCCACACATAACCGAACATCTGCGTTTTCAATTACATTTTCCTGCGTTGGGGAAAACCACAGAAGTGGGCGGAGCTTTGATGCAGACGCCGGGATTTCTGTAGCGGCACTTACAGTCAATCAATCAATCAATCAATCTTTTTATTTCGAACTTTGTTGTCAATCCAAATGCCATGTCATTTCATAATGCATAAAAAAATAAACTTTGTACACTCTGTACTTCTATTCTCATTCGAAAAAACAAGGAAAAA